CGGAATTTGAATTGGAAAAATTTTGGAAGGAATATGCGACAAAAACAAGATGAAACCCTGTAGAAAAAATTAGAATCGGTTAATTTCTTTGAATAACGCACTGAAACAGAAAAGACGATTTTCTTTCGCAAAGAAGTTTACTGAGGATTTTAACAATATTCTCAAGTTGCAAATGCGATCTTGGAAGTGGGAAGTTTTTCTGCATCTCCTCCAGACCTATTTACCTTCAGACAATCTGTAGCCGGATTACCGATTGTTAAAGGGATATATTTAGTGAGTATAATTGATACAGAGTAATATCATAGAGTTGTCAATTAAATTCGTTTTTTTCTAAAGTTTTTTCAATTAAAACGCAAAATATTTCACTGTAATGCTTTATGGTTTATATATCTCTATTCTTTCTATACAACCTTTTTTGATCGTTTTATTGACTGATTTGTTATAATTGTTGAGAAATAATAGGATTAAACTAAATGGAAAAAACGATTTTCTGACAACCTAGTAGTTAATATAATAATAAGCGTATGGGAGTTTCTTTCAACACAGTCATAATAAATATATAAACAATTACGTACACTTAACAACAACATTGTAGTGTATCTAAGAAGGTTGCGTGAATATTTAAGATTGTGCTGTAAATAAAATATGCAATATCCAGAAACATAAATTATAAGAAATGGCCAAATGGTAACGATACATGTTTGAAACAACAGATTAAATTTTATATACACAATTTACAATTTCTTTGTTTGTAATGATGTGTGCAAAGGTATATTTTAGAGAAAAAGTTCTTTGCTGTTTCAGAAATATTCAATGTCTAAAAAGTTGTCTGCCTTTGATTAAAAATGTTTAATTTTACTTAGACAAAAGATTTTCTATGAAAGATATTGAGTGAAAAAGTTTGTTGTGCAAATTTTTCTAATCTCTCATAAAGGAAGTTCGTTTCTTTGGCGGCACATAATTCTCGTGTGTATCTTTCGCGTGTGTGAGTCTCAAATGCGACGAAAATTCGTTTACTATTTCTATTTATAGTTTTCTTAACAACGAAATCGGTTCCAACAGGGCTCGGTAGCTGTTGTGAATTTTTCTGAGAAATGCGTGGGCGAATGTTGTATTTTTTTAATTTTTTAGCCAATAGAATTTCTTGAAACATTTAAATTAAGGATGAATTTAAGAAAGATATTTTACGTCGGTTGATCCTATTTCTGCACAAATTTATTCATTGGGTTGGGAATTATTAGCTATGTTTATATGCAGTCGAGTACGCATAGGAGATTATATGTTGTTTACTTTCTGTGTTGTATTCGATATGATATGCGGTTCACTAGTGGCGAAAAAGTCCCTCATAGGGAAAACGAGGCACGTCCTATCACTAATGATATCATGAGGGTAAAAAAGGAAAAAACAAGAGAGAAAGAGAGAAGCTTTTAAACCCTTTTCTTTATAAACTTCTTTATATAATGCCATCTAATGGTCGTTGACAGAGGTTCTTTGCCAGACAAGTAATCTCTCAAAATAACCTTCCCTTTATAATGGAATACATAATTTAACAGAAAGATAGAATAAAATCATAGAAATCCAGAGAAAGTAATATGAATGATGATAAATTTAACTATAAATTTAACTATACATAAGATGCACTGTTTTTTATTTACAGTACGTAAGTTTTATTATGCAAATCAATGTTTCTACAATCAGATCAGAATTAACTTATTAATTCTCACAGTAAAACCTGGTAATATATATTTTTTAAAAATTTGGGATTAATTATAAGAATTAAAATAAAAATCCGCTATTAATTATTTTTAAAAAATCGGTATTAATTATAAAAAAAATTAAAATGAAAATCCGGTACTAATTATAAAAATTGAAATAAAAATCTAGCATTATTTATTAAAAATTGAAATTGAAATCCGGTATTAATTTTAAAAATGAAAATGCGATATTAATCATAAAAATTAAATTAAAAGCCATCTATTAATTATGTAAATTAAAATAAAATCCGATATTAATTAAAAGAGTAAAAATCCGTTATTGATTATAAAAATTAAATTAAAAAATCACGTATTAATTATAAAAAATAAATAATAATAAAGAAAAATTCTGGTATTAATCTAAAAAAATAAAAATAAAAACCGCTATAAATCATTAAAATTAAACTGTAAACCATGTATTAATTATAAGAAGTTAAAATAGAAATACTGTATTAAGTATAAAAATTAAAATAAAAATCTGGCATTAACTAAAAAAGTAAAATTAAAATCCGGTATTAATCATAAAAATTAAATTAAAAATCCTGTGTTAATTATAAAAAATAAAAATAAAAATCAGGTATTAATCATAAAAATTAAAAATCCTGTATTGATTATAAAAAATTTTTAAAAAGTCCGGTATTATTTTTAAAAAAGTAAAAATTAAAAGTCCGGTATTAAATATAAAATTAAATTAAAAATCCGGTATTAATTATGAAAAAAATAAAAATAAAAATTCCGTATTAATCATAATTTTTTTTGAAAAAATTCGGTATTAATTAAAAAATAAGAATAAAAATTAGGTATTAATCATAAAAAAAAATGTTAAAATCCAGTATTAATTAAAAAATAAAAATAAAAACCGGTATTAATGATAAAATTAAAATCCGTTATTAATTGATGAATTAAAAATAAAAAATCCGGTATTAATATTAAAAATTAGATTAAAACCTCTGCATTAATTATAAAAAAATAAAAATCCGGCATTAATTATAAAAAATTAAAATAAAAATCCGACATTAATTATAAGAAATTAAATTAGAAATCCCGTATATTTCTTTTGATTTGTGTAATTCTATTGAAAATTAATGTCTGTTTGACCGATTTATAAATTTCCTTTTTAATCTATTGCTCTTGGAATTTTCCTTACTTTTCTTTATTTTTATCTTTCTTTTTCTTTTCGCTGAGCAAAGTAATGTGTTTCTTAACTTTATTGATCAGACCTTACTCGGTATTTCAGTGTATTTGGACTTTTAGTGTTTTGTCTGACTGTCAGACGTGTTTTTTCCTCCTGTAGTTGTAGATTGTTTCTTGTCTAAAATTTGATAGCCTTTTCAACGGTTATCAATCTTCTTAGCCCTGGATAACATTTCTTGACATTCAGAACGTTCTGCACTTAATGTTTGCATTAAAAAGAAAAAAGAAAAAGAAAAAGTTGGGATCTTCTTTCGTTGTTACTTAACGGTTCATAGGATATTAACCAGAAAGGCCCAAATTTCTCATACACAGAAAATGCACACAAGCACATATATTTCAACAACAGACATGCGAACATACGTACGCAGACACATACGTGCGTACACATTAGGTGTGTAAGTACGGATTTATACTTTGGTGTATGTGTTTAGAGTTTCTGAACACACAATGCTACCCGAAAGTTTTGAGAAATTAAGACGTGAAATCTTCTTTATGTGCCGTGACCCCTCAGTACATAAACAATGATGGCTCTCCACAATTTCCTGTCCGTTGCAGCTCTTAATAATTTTTTTGTTATCTCTCCCTGTTCCGCCATCCTCAAGCTCACTAAGTACTTCATGGGTTGTTTTCCTCTGTCCCTCTTGCCATTCTTTAATTTGTCCTGTGAATATCATATTTTCCAAGCCTTCTTTCCTCATGTACATGGTTGTTAGCAAAATGTGAATTGCAAATCGGAGATACCAAACTCAAACAAGTACAAAAATGTAAATATCTTAACAAAGTGCGACACTGAAATACGCAGGCGCACTGGGATATCCAAAAGCTAAGCAGAATATTAAGAAATAAAAAAAAACTAGAAACAAAGAAAATGGTACTAAACTTTTACATGATATCTGTCCCCCTAGATGACAGTGCGTGTTAGACAATATCCTCAAAGATGAAGAAAAAACTTTAAGAAAAAGAAATGTCGTTCTACAGAAGAATGCTGAGGAAACAATGTAACCGATTTATGTGAGCAATGACCAAGTTTTAGAGAAAATGGAAACAAAAAGGAAACTTATACTTAACATCAGGAAGAGATAGTTGAAATTTCTAAGGCATGGAACAAATTCACCAAATAAAATAAAAAAGAATTATAGAAAATGAAATAATTTTTTTTTCTATGTGATTTTTAGAGATCTTTGAAATATATGTTGAGATACGAGAATTGCTAATGAATAAACTTATTCATTAGCAATTCTCCCACCCATTATTGTATAGACTTATATCTTCTTTGTTAATAATATTTATTAATTTATTGATTATGTCTATGCTTACTACACGCACCATTATAGCTACTCATTGTTACATCAACGTTATTATTATTATTATGGCTCTTTTTTTGTCCATATTTTTATTGTCGTATAGTATTGATATACAGCAGTGTTTAATTATATTTATGTATTCAATGGGGATAGTTGTGTATTGTTTTGCTAAGTTTAGTGCGTTGTTTAGTGCATTCCCGTTAATAGATGTTTAGAAGTCTTTTATGTGATATATATATATATATATATATATATATATATATATATATATATATATATATATATATATATATATATCATTGTGCCATGCATGATACACGCTTGGGCGATCATGTCTCTCTTTCGATTCATGACTGACTTTTCTCAGTAGGCTGCCATTTCTTTCATTGATAAACTGATGCCAATCAAGGTTATAGGACCCAGTTTGTCCTGCTATTCAAAGCATAGCTGGGGAGAGTAGACATGGATTCATACCGTTCACATGAGTATTTGCGCATAAGTGAATGTAATGAACCCGACTGGGACTTGAACTCAGCTCTCCAATTTCAGATCTGTTATCAATTGCACCATACCACACACACACACATATATATATATATATATATATATATATATATATATATATATATATATATATATATATATATATATATATATATATATATATATATATATATATATATCAAAAACCAAAACGTTTGTCTAAGAACTCAAAACCTATTCTCAAATAATGACATACGGCTACATTGCTTTGAAACAGTGGTTCCTGTACAATTACTGCAGTTAAGCAGCATCGATCCTGGTCAGTACCTAGATGGGTGACCACTTGGGAATACCAGGTGCTGTAAGCTTAGATGTGCAAGTGGCATGATGAATAATGGCTTGAAATTTTTAACCATAGATCCAAGTTCCAATTGGTTTCATTATATTCACTTACATGCAAATATTCTTGGGAAAGGTATGAATCAATCTCTTCTCCCCCCAGCTATGGGTTAATTAGTTAGACTTGTATCACTAAATCATTATTATCTCAAAAAAATTGGTATTAAATAACCCATGCCGCTAAATAAAAACAACTAACCAACCAAATAGCCTGGATCTTGACTCTTATATGCATGGCATGCATGACATCTATGGGTTTCAAAAATGTATCAATTATCAGTTGTGCATAACTGTTTTTGCAGATCAATGATTAAAAATAGCTTCAAGCAAATGAATGTCCTAGATCTTAAAGAAGACAATCCTTTATCAGATCTCACAGACTGGCACTACACAATCCCAAAGAACTTTAATAAATAACAAAAACCACATCACTCGAAGATTTCCAAAAGTAATAAGAATTAAATGGACTTTAGGAGAAAATAATAAAATAATCAAGATACTGACAGTCCACACTACTTTAAACAGAAGTTTAGAAAAGAAACCTCCATTAATACTGCAAAGATAGATGAGTGGAATTGAGAAACATATTTTTCTGGAAACCTGTTTTAAGGGAAAAACTTTATAGATTTCAACCAACAATAACACTAATTGTTTGGCTAATGAATGCAGAATGTTTTCTTATAAGGAAATGGCTAATCTCACTATATATATATATGCACCTGAAAAATCTAGATTAAAATCCATTTTCTAAAAACACCTTTTGTATTAGAAATAACTATTCACTATATTGTTAAGGATGTGTGAGTAGCGTGGTGGTTATTTGCACTGAAAATGGAATTGGCAAGTTGAGTTCAAATCCAAGGTCTGGTCTGTTGAATTTACTTTCACATTAATGCCCTTGAGAAAGATATTAATCCATCTCTTCTCCTTTGCTCCTGCTATGGGTTAAACAGCAGAATGAACTGAGATCTCTAGTTTTGTGGAAGTCAATCTAGGAGGACAACTCTAAATTCAAAACCATGGAGAAGGCAGTGGGAAACCATTCCATTATCTTCCCCAAGAAGTGATGACAATTCATAGATCATAAAAAATGACATGACATTTAAAAAATCTCCAAATTCCCACCATCTAATGTTTATTTTGATATCCTTGCTCGATAGTTAATACTTTTAAATTTTTTTTTAAGAATATTTAAAATACCAGTCTCTTTGTTATTTTGCAATTGCTTACATACTAAGATATTCAACTTGAAAAAAAATAGAATGCAAGCAGCAGCAGTTGGACAAAAGTTGAAAACAAAGAGAAAAATTCAAGGTATGTTGTATAAAACACAGGGGATGAACTATTTTCAATAATGATGCATGAAACTGTGCTTTCAGCTTTCTTGTTCAATGTTACTTCTTTTTTTTTTATAAACACAACAGAAAATATTTGCATACACACACACACACACCTCTGTAGTATTCATGTGCTGGCTAAAATAACAATAACCAAACAACTAAATTACATGAACATCAAATTATCATTGCCTTGAATTTTTTTACAATGTCATTATTTTTTCAATCCAAAGGTCAAGTTTAGTAACCATGTAGTGCAACCTTCAGAACTAAATTGCCAGGCTCTCAATGACAAATGAGGTTTTATAACTAAAGATATATATTTTTTACTTACAGCTATTAAATAATAAAACAAGAATTTTTATATCGATATACATAATTTGTATAAATTTTAATTCTTGGTATATGTCTCTGTGTTGGTGCAGATAATTCTTAAAGAAATCCTTGAAAAGTAAATATCGTTTTTAATATTTAAATATCTGAGATTAAATGTTGTCAATTAATATTAACAAAATTGACAAGATAATTTACATATTGATCAGCCAAAGGTCAGAGTACCTGTGTGCTCGGCATATGATCATATAACTCCCAAGAACTCTGCCCAGGATAAATGCAATATCTGTTCTTTGCCACTCTTCCATGATTTCAGATTGTTCACAGAAAATCCTTTAGGAATGCCTAGTCACAGGGGTTCTAACCCAGCAGCAGAACCTACCTCATTGCACTAGAGGGAGGTTTGATGGATACAAATGGCAGTATGAAAGTGGCCACAGAGACTGAGCAATTTTTTGCATTTCCTTATATATATACACAAATGGGTATGCCACATTAAAATCATCTTGTGTCACATTTTTCATCCTCAGTTAAAATACTTCCTAGTTATTTAAATTTTTCTAATTTTGTTATCTCCAATTCATAGTATAATCTATAAAACATCCTTTTGCATTTCTCTTTCAGATATCATTCTAAGCATAAATATCGCATTCCTTGTTTCAGTGTCTTTAACCTCACTATTCTTGTCCTATTTCGGGTCTAATTCTGCTAGGTACTCTATTCATTAGAATTCAAATTAAATTTAATTTTGTGGCTCATTAAGGAGATTGTCTGATGGAGTTTGCATTCATTTGCCCCTGGCTTCTTAGGTAGCGATATGAAAATGGATTTACTTAGGTGTTCCTTTCATAAAAAAATGTATCACAAATATATTTAGATTTCTGTTATGTCTTTTTATTTAAAAAAAACTAGATAGATAGATATGAGTGAGAGAGAGAGACTATAAGAGTTCTTAATTTTATGATTTTTAAGAAAGTAAAAATATCCAAAGAAAGTTATCATAAAATAAAAACCAATGTATAAGTAAACCTAATTTATTTATTATATTGCCAGGCATATTTTGAAAATGTCACCCATGCTATAATAATGGAATATTTCATTATTAAGAAAGGTAGGATTATTCTGTGTGACTGATAAATATATAAAATCACATTGTGTTTTACATTAGAGAATACACTTTTGTCTTGTATATCTTTATCTTAATTTAAAAAACAACTGAAATCAGATTAAAAGGATACAAATTGACAATGTGTTATGGTCCAGTTCCTTGTACCACGGTGATAGTCCAAGGTAGAACCAATAAAGAACTCGAACATGTATATAGAATAACAGATATATTACAAACAGGAATATATACAGAGAAGTAGAAAGTGTTAGTACGAACAATCAGGTTTAGCAGTAATTGTCTGAACGCGTCTCTGTTTTGGACTGCCTCTGACTAAACTGACTGACTCGCTCGCTCTGACTGACTGACAGACTCCTGATGGACTTCACTCCAGACTTCAGACTGAACTCTCTGCTTCCTCTTGAGGTGCAGTATTTATTACGTATGGAATAGTCCTTTATGTTATTATGGGTAAGGTCCCATAACACAATGCTTCTTGTAAAAATAATAAAATTCAAGAGAATATAACTAGAAATTCTCCTAATGTAAATAATGTAAGAGAAATTAAGAGAAAAGAAATATTATAAAAAAATTAATAATAAAGCAAAAATTGGTATGACAAACAAATATTAGCTTCCATGATTACAAAACAAAAGCATAGCATTATTTGCAGTTTATATACTGTAGAGCTTTAATTACAACTATTGCTTATCATCAGAGATTTAAGAATCTTGAAGAAATTTTTAATTCTATTACATTCAAAGTTTCTTTTGGTGTAGATGCTTATTTTTATAAGCAGTATTTTCAATCTTATTATTTTATTAATAGTTTTACTTCATCTTATGACTTTTCAGATGAAGCATTTTCAATCTTATTATTTTATTAATAGTTTTACTTCATCTTATGACTTTTCAGATGAAGCATTTTCAATCTTATTATTTTTATTAATTTTTTACTTCATCTTATGACTTTTCAGATGAAGCATTTTCAATCTTATTATTTTATTAATAGTTTTACTTCATCTTATGACTTTTCAGATGAAGCATTTTCAATCTTATTATTTTATTAATAGTTTTACTTCATCTTATGACTTTTCAGATGAAGCATTTTCAATATTGTTATTTTATGATTAGTTTTACTTCATTTTATTATTGTTGCTTTTTAGATGAAGCATTTTGCACCATTCTATGATAATTTTGATACTCTCTTTTCTACTATTGTTGTTTTTACAACAAAATAGGAGTAATGCTTATTAGTAATCTATTCCTATTTTACTATTTGTCATAAGAAAAGAAAGGAATAAGAGCAATAAGATAGTAATAGTGAAAATGCTTCATCTAAAATCAACATTTACAAATCAAACTATTCGTAAGATAATAATTCTCATTTATTCTAAACTCAAGCATAGAAGTGTCATTATATATGGCTGCATAGAGTAAGCATATCAGACCCAAAATGCTTGCTCTTTTCAGAGGCCACAATTAAAAAATATAATGGTGTAAAACAAACAATAGGCTCATATTAAAGAAGGACAAAAACTAATACAACAATAAATTTTATTGCTCAGAAATCAGGTAATAGAAAAGAATTCAGGTAATATATATCTGTTGCACTGAAAAACCAGTCAGCTGGCTTTTCTTTAATTCAACCTGGTGGCCATGTCATCTGTCTGCCACCCAACACATGAAGATGAAGATGATATACAGACTGGGCACCATTCTTTCCATTGTTTATCACTGAAAAAAAAAATTAAATAAAAGGATCACATTATTTTATAAATAAATCTCTTAATTTTGTTGTGATCATGTGAAATAAAAAAATATCTAATTCACATGATTCCATAGAACAAAGGAAACCATCCTACTGGCGGGAAATTTAGAGCCTTTCATCTTTTCAGCTGGCCTCTTGCAAGAAGAGCACATTGAATTGGGCAGCTCTAAACATGAAGACCACAGATAAGTTAATTTACCCAGATATCATTTTCTCTTGTTAAATACCGCCTTTATGAACAGACTTACCACTTTCCTAGAAATCTATTCATTCACCAACATAAATGCATACCAGAAATATTCCACATTACAAGAACCTTCTTATTCCACCAAACTTGGATAATAAATCCTTCTGATTATTTATTAGAAATGTCTCACTTTGTTGCTGCTGTCATGAATATATGTTGTATTTTACTAACAGGAGTCAAGCAAGACCCATCATAACAATCTAATTTTTAAAAATTTAACATAGAAATCACATCTATCTTTTGTTGCTAATTTATATGCATGTATGCTGAAAAGTTCTTGACCTGACTAGGAAGCCTTTCCAAAAAGAAAGTCTTTTTGGTTATTTGTGAAGTGAGTCAAAAATTTTTCAATATCAGTTCAAAAATCAATTTTTGTTTGAAAAATCACAAAAACAATTGAAAAGTCCTTGAAATCGAGCCTTTATCACTTGAAAAGTAGTTTTCAGCATGTTTACATAACTTACATGAAGTCATAGTGATTAAAATTTAGATTTTGCTAACTCATAAAAACAAGTGAAAAGTGATTTTCAGCACATTTACAAAGCTATAGTAAATAAAATTTACTCACTAAAACAAGGGAAAGTGGTTAAAATCTAGTCTTTTTTGCTCAAAAAGTAGTGTTTTCAGCATGTTTACATAACTTAAATGAAGTTATAGTTATTAAAATTTAGATTTTGCTAACTAAAACAAACAAGTGATAAGGGGTTGAAACCTAGACTTTTTCACTTGAAAAATAGTGTTTTCAGCATGTCTACATAACTTACAAGAAGTTATAGTGACTAAAATTTGAATACTAAACATTTGAGACTCAATTTCACTTTTAGAAATTTTCATTGCTATTTCCAGTGGTACAAAAATGTTATCCCTAAAATATAAAGCTCAATTTTTTTTAAATGCTAAATTTGATGAAAAAGATCTGCATTATATGATTTTGAAATACAGTCTAAAAAAATGATCTACGCAACTTTACACAAGAACAAACATCAGAGAACAAGTAGCATCAAAAAGATCTTGTACATATTGTGATTGCACCATTCAATAGAAATGTCTACACAATTAACACTTAATGATTCCCAACCTTCTGAGTCAGTCTACCAATAGACTTTGTACTGTCTAGTCATGCTCAATTATTATGCAAGGTTTTCTAATGTTGTGTTGGAATGGATCTGCGATCTTTACAATGTCTGACAAATTCATGCAATGTGTCTTCATTTAATTTTCCATCTAGCTCAGCAAATCTACTACAGAGACTTTCAAAATGCTTCATCAGGTTTTCAGCAAACATACTTTTAGTCAAAACAGGTTTGTGATTGTCACATCTGTTTCAATGACAGTTAATAGTAAGTTCAAAATGATGTGAAAACCTATCCATATGGACTATTGCTAAACAGTCCTTCAATTCTTCCACATGATTGGATAGAGTCTACAAGGTTTTCACAGAAAACTTGAACATGCATCATTTTATGTGTCATATATATATATATATATATATATATATATATACATATAAATATAAATATAGATAACTAGACTCGTTTGAAAAACCCTCGAATTTTTGATTTGCTAATCAAATCAATCTTGAGGGAAAAAAAGGTTTTAAAAAAGAAAGAGCTACAAACATGGACTTCTGCCAACAAAAAAATCGCACAGATGCAGGTCTGAAGCCCAAAGAAAAACCCAGATACAAGTAACAACTAACTAACAAAAGAGCTCAATACAACCGTAGAGCAGTGGGTTTTTTTTTTTTTGTTGAATAAATATCCCCCCACTTAGGTTTTTGTTTTTGTTTTTTATTTTGTCACGTGGTATGATTTTAGCTATCACCTATAAATATGTGTTTCTCTTTGCCTCGTTAGCCAAACTTTCCCTGATGATCCGTTTAGGTGAAACCTAGGTAGGTTTGTCTGGCTCACTAGGTGTATCTATATATATATATATATATATATATATATATATATATATAACCAGAATTATTGATTGAAACTTTGAAAACAACAAAATAAACAAAACAAAAGAAACTGGGCTGCCATCAGTAAAATAAAACCCATACTAATCAACCATATTTACAAAAAGACAAGATGCACAATTATCTAAAAGAAAACAACATAGAACAAAGCTGGAACTCAATCCTAAAATGACAGACACACAAAAACTTCACTGCAACTTTAAGTTTAATGACATAACAATCACTTCACAGTGATCCTTTTTTTATCCTAGATAATTTTGAATTTTTATATATATATATATATATATATATATATATATATATATATATATATATATATATGTATATGTATATATATAATGGACTCTCCTGTCGGTTTCAACGTATGAGGAACTGACAGCTTATTGATTTGGTTATGAAAGTTTGTGCGATAATCTTAAGTGGCATTTAAGACCTGCTAGTGATTTACAAAGGAGGCCACATATGAAGCAAGTGTGAGGATTGTGAAATGAGATCACTTTTAGATCTTGCTCTCATATATAGGGTGGTCCGAAAGTCTTGTTACCCCTACATAATAAAATTTTGTATTTCAGATGGCTGACACGAAAATAATGGTGTTCATACAGACCTTCACAATGTGTGACAGCATCAATGAAAGTTAATAAACTGAATCCAGTACATGTGCTTTGTATTACTTATTCATCTATTCTTTGCATTATTTTTTGGTATGAGGTGAAAAGACTTTTATACCACTCTATATATATATATATAAAATCTTTACACACTGGATGGAAACATGACTATGGTTTAGACCACCAAGGACTCTTTAGGTGGTTAGTACAGCAAATTAAATTACCTTCCACACACCAAAGCTTACATAAGATAATGTTACACCAGAAGTAATCGGCTGAAGTTGGAGAGAAGGGAAAAAATATATCATCCAACCTCATCCAGGTTTGTAAATGCCTAAATATAACTTCCTTTTGTGCCTACATTTTGTTATGAACTATGTTCTTTCATTTAATAACTCTGTTACACCCTTATAAATTGCAATAGCCAACTTTTTCTCTTGGCAAAGTTTACAGGAGACGCCATTTAGCTTACAATTCTTCACTTTTCTCAGGATAAACCATTCAATCGTAGGGTTTCTATTATGAATCTCACTTAAATCCCAATAATGCTTATCCAGACTTGTAAAAAATACTTCGACATATGAGAGAGACTTGTTTCATTATGTTCTTTTATGACTGCTGGCTAAACATTGTCCCTTATATTGCCAGAGGGGAGATGGTTTTCAGATAATGGTGTTCATAAATGAGTTTACTACTATCAGTAAAGAAGGAAAAATAAAAAACAGTAAGAAAATAGTTACATCAAAAGCTAAGCCAACCATTAGTTTTAATTGTTCTAAGAACACTTCTTTCAGTTATGGACACTGGTCATTCAGAGAATGTCTGCATGTTCTTATAATGTATTTCTTTTGTTTGCAGTGCATTGCCTTCAAAGGTGTACAGCCTCAGGCCCCTGTCTACTTTTTGGTGATTCTTCACAAACTTATTTCATGTTTGAGTGATGCTGATGATGAAGATCAAATGGTAGGAATGTATTTCTTCAATTTTAGTTCTTGGAGCATGGAGCATTGCAAAATGATTGTGTAGTTATTTCTCATGGGGTTTTATAGTCAGTTGAATAATTAACAATGATTATACCTCAAATCTAAATAAAATAATTGTGAGGTGCATGCATAAGTACCTTGCTGGTGGTTGAGGTCATTGTGTATTTATCCTCAACACTGATGGCCAGTGTTTAAGATAGGCAAAGACATGATTGATAATGCTGATTGTCAATGCAGGTATCAAGGTTGCTTGGAAGATTGGCAAAAACAATCTTTTACCTATTTTGGGCCTTTTACCAGATTAAACTAAGCCCAGTAAATATGTGTGTATTATATAATATTATTGTTTAGCAATCTATTCATTTTTCCTATATGCAAGCACAAACCTTCTGACCTTGCCAAATAGTCTTATCTAAAAGGAAGACCATCAACAGAAGGTTATTTAGACAGTCATAAAATTAAATGTAATTTCAAATATAATTCTACTCAAATAATTCTGCCTCTGTGTACTATTTGTATACAATAAAATCATATTATGTTTCTGAATTTGATGCAAATGGCTAATCCAGTGTAGTAAATGCCCATCAGTCTCAGGAGACTATGGGGACTGCTAGCTAATCCCTGCTGTAGACCCTTGCACAGGTACATTTATGTTTCTTCAAAAACTGCAGAGCCAACCTATGGTTTATACTGCAACTATGTTAAGTGGACCTTAGATACAGTTTTGGGAAGAGAGTGAATAATATACAGGATCAGTTGTTGCACAAGACCAATATGCACACACTTTCATTGATGATGACTAGTGACTTTGTTCTAACACAATCATTGACTGCTTCCAGTTTTATCTACACAATTTCATTCATATGGCTTGGGTCAACCTATGATATGGTTTTCAAATACTTAACTGTGCTGCATGCTGAGATCATTTTCTCCAATATATCAAACTGGTTCTTCTCTATCCAATGTGAACTAATTTACATAAGAAAAGATTTAAAACAATAAAGCCATAATTGCAACAATTACTATCATACAAAATAAAGGAGATTTTTCACCTAATATCCACCATTAGGCACTTTCCTTATCTATTATTAATAAGAAAAACAGGTAAAACTTACCAACACGGAAGCCATCCCCTAAATTTAGCTGGGCAGCAACTTTCTTTGCAACCAACAACAAATGACCAAGCAGCTATACATGTCAAAAGAAAAGATAATAATGAAAAACAAATTTGATTTTAATTTTATAAAAAATTAAATCTATTTGTAAATAGAAATAAAAAAAAAAACTAAAATAATTCATCAGTATCATCATCAATCATCAGGTGTTGTGACCAGGTGACTCATTCCTTCCACAAATTTGGGTTGCATGCTGGAAAGCTATTCATTCATGCATAGTGTGTCTTGGGCAGGTTTGACCTCCCTAGGTCAAATCCCAGCTGATGTCCTCCAATTTTAAGACTTACTTTGGTCACAAATATATGATCATTGATTCCATAGGGGAACCTTCTACCTTGGCCATTGAATTCAGTTTGGGAAGCCTTCCACCTCATAAATCCATGTTATCACCACACTGGCTGCCCAGTCCACCCAATTGTGCTAGATAACCATTGACCCTAGAAATAGGTTCATCAACCCCTTTGACAAGTCTTGTTTTTAATCCTGCTGGGTGTCTAGCCACCCTCCTTACCAGAAAAACTGGTGGAGGAACCAGTTTAGTTGCCAGTGACTCAACCAAACAGCAATTAATACAAGGGTACATGATAATAATTTGTATGAAAGTAAATATTAGTCAAAATTAATAATAAAAATATTTTCAATGGCCACCACTGCAATCCCACCATTGAATGAGATTGGTGCATAAGTTTTCAGTAAATTATTTTTACATAATATTAGGGAAATCTCAGAAGATTTTTATTAAGTTTACAACTTTACAATCAGGCAACTGTAGTACATTATTTACAAACCTTAGGAAAAATCAGAAACTCAGAAAATGGTTTGCCCATTTAACTCTTGGAAGCACTCAACATTTACATTTGTGGAGTGTCTAAATGTGCCTGCAATCAGATTGTACAGTATTTCAATACAGATTATTAACTAGATGATGAACTAGAGTTGCTGGGAATCTTTGACTTTGTAAAAATTGTAGATTTATAGAACCATATCTTATAACCAGAAATATGAAGGAGGCTAAAGATTGTATAATTGGAAAGAGAAAAGAATTTACTTTCATATAAAATCAACATTATATTTGATTTTTTAACAGTTTTGAGATATTTCAGTTTAATTCCACTAACATCACATATTCAGATCTTTCAACAATTTAGTCAGGCGATCATCCTGATCTACAAATCAACAATTCGCCCTTGCATGGAGTATTGCTGGAGCCCCTTCTGTTTGCCTCGGGGTTCTTGGTAGGCTCCAGAGGCGGATATGCAATATAATTGGCCCTGTTCTGGCATCTCGTCAACAGTCACTCTCTCGCAGACGTGCCATTGCCTCTCTGTCTCTTTTACAAATACTTTCATGGCAACTGCTTCGAGGAGCCGCATTCGCTGGTTCCCAGACTTCATGAGGCTGGCATCCCGCTCTCACCCTTTCACTGTCGAAACTCCTAAATATAGCCGTCTCTTCTACTCCAATAGCTTCATGTCTTGCACCTCTCGCCTGTGGAACTCCCTTCCCTATTCCAGTTTCCCTGAGAGCTATAATCTCCAACTATTCAAATGTAATGTCAATCGATATCTCCAGTTGTCTTGATCTATCCACTATCCTTCTCCTCATCCTTTCCTCTATCACTCCTATCTGATCTTGCTCCAAATCTTCTGTAACCCTTTGCGTCCTAGTGGCTTCTTGCCTTGCTTAGGGTGAAACACTTAAAAAAAAAAAAAAAAAACTCAAAAGATTTAACAATTCAAATCTCTTAAGGGATGGGTTAAATGCATGTGTTTCTGTTGTTGATCAACAAAGAAAAATTTAATTTTGTAAACCCAATGTCTATCATTCAAAGCACTTAACAAATACAAAGAGAAGTTAAATATACTTTAACATTTCAGCGACTTAATTTCTTATAGTTCTTTGTTGGTGCAGAAGATGTAATCCACCATTTTAACAGGAAATATTAAGAAAAATAATTTTATTGTATTTATAGGTAAGCATTTAATGTTACTGAAATATGAAGATGCTGTAAGGTAGAAAGGAAATACGTGGAAAAAATATGCAACTAGGACAATGATTAAAAATATCTTCTTATTATTATTATTTCATAGTCATGGTCATCTCATTTGATAAAAAAAATCTTAGCAAAAGAATTTGACAAATTTACAAAATATAAGGTCTTGGAAATATAAATTGCAAGAATATATGTAAGAACACGAAATTCTGATCAAATAATAATAAGAGCACTAGGAAAGATTAAAAAGAATATTGATGAATGCATTAAGAAAATCACAGGAAACCTAACACTATCTGAGATACAAAAGATTGTACTTGTGAAAAACTCTTACAATGTAATATGCTTAATACATTTCTTAAAAAAGGAAAACCTTCCTTTAACTCACATTCCAGTTAAAAGATTTTGTGAAGGATTGCAACAAACAACAAATCAGGAAAATTGATGTTAATGATGATGATGATTCAATTTACTAGAATAACAAAAGCAGTTTAATGACTGAAATTTACATATAAGACCCATGGGATAATTCTTATGAAGCCATTCTTATATGCCATTATGCTATTAACCCATTTTTGAGACAGTGGGCATTAATGTTATAGGTTATAATACTGGATTTTTTATAAACCTATGATACCAGATTTTATTTTTTAAATCTGTAATAAATACTAAATTTTTACTTCAATTTTTATAATTAACACTAGACTTTACAGTGGACATTAATTGTCTTTATACAGTATTTCTAGCCAAAACACTAGTTGTTTTATGGGGGAGATGCAAGTTAAATTATACTGGGAAAACCGTGAAGATGAACAAAAATATTTCTCTAATTTTAAATGTCTGCCTTAAAATGTCCAAACAAATTTCTTGAGGTTACTTTGCTCTTTTTGAATTTATCTAATTAAAAATTTAATAAAAAGATAATAATGCTGTTACTCATACTACTAGTGTAAAAAACAAATATGGAACTGAGATTATGGAATGAGGCATGTGCTTAAAAGGTTAGAATTGATCTTCAAGAAGTTAAACAAATACATTCCTACCATTTGATCTTCATCATCAGCATCACTCAAACATGAAATAGGTTTGCGAGGAATCACCAAAAAGTGGACAGGGGCCTGAGGCTGTACATCTTTGAAGGCAATGCACTGCAAACAAAAGAAATACATTATAAGAACATGCAGACATTCTCTGAATGACCAGTGTCCATAACTGAAAGAAGTGTTCTTAGAACAATTAAAACTAATGGTTGGCTTAGCTTTTGATGTGACTATTTTGTTACTTTTTTTTTATTTTTCCTTCTTTACTGATAGTAGTAACCTCATTGATGAACACTATTGTCTAAAAAGCATCTCCTCTCTGGCAATATAAGGGACAATGTTTAGCCAGCAGTCATAAAAGAACACAACGAAACAAGCTCTTTAGAAACAGATATTTACCCAGAATGCTATCTCAGTGAGCATTTTTTAATCATCTTCTTAAAGTTATTATTATTATGGTCATTGCTGTTGTTAACAATGTTTTGTTTTGTTGCCACTAAAATATGAAAGACATGACTGTTCTACAGTAGATTCTTATTCAGAATAGATCCATTCAACCTTATTCTACATTCAAGAATCAATTCGCTGACATTTGCCAACATGAAAACAGCAACTTTAAGCATTGTTACTTCTCCTCCCCTCTTCTTTTCTTTGATCAGTAGAAAGGGAATTTATGTGAAGAGACTCAAGTTCGCTTATGGTAATGGAAAACAAACTCAAGAAGAGAAATGATAACAATGGATTTTTCTTTTCTTTTTTTTTTTTTTTTTGACAAATATCCATTTGCTGCATGATTTGTCCTTAATCCCAGGATCAGTTTTTAATTTTATATAAAATATTCTTTGGAGTTTAAATATATATTGATCACTGTATATAATATTTATATATAAATGCATATATGTGGTATAATGATCATTATTTATATATAATATTTACATATATATGTACATATATAGTATATTGATCACTGTATATAATATTCATATATAAATGCATATATATGGTATATTGATCACTGTATATAATATTTATATATAAATGCAAATATATGGTATAATGATTATTATATATAATATTTATATATAGTATATTGATCATTGTAGATAATATTTATGCATAAATGTATATGCATTATATATATATATATATATATATATATATATATATATATATATCATAATGATTATTTATAAAATAATCAGTTTCCACTTCGTGCTCTAAAGTGTCTTATAATTAAGAGAGTTTTAAAAACCAGTGTAAACTTTGGACTTTGATATTTTTATCTATTTAAAAAAAAATCAAAGAGTTTCTACCATGAAAAATTATCCACCTTAGCTGTATATATAAGTTGGTCATTTATGAGAATATATTTTAATTTTGGATAGAATACAATCCTCACTTTGGAAGGTGTGAAACATTCAGATCTTAGTTTATGAAATGATGTCATATAATTATGATTTTCAAAAACAGTAATATCTTTGCCCACTTAAAAGACATCAAAGACGAGTGTTTACATCACAAAAATATATCCAATATATGTGGGATAACTAGTCATAGATCTGAATTTAGCATAACAAATCATTCTAGCCAAACCAAAAACAAAACTGTATACATTAATTATTAATAGTAATTAATGAGAAAAGCTGTTTCTGAATGAGACAACAATACATAGTGATTATTTTGTTGATACAAGTAAATAAAATTACCAAAATATTATACTTGTGTATAATACAAACTTCAATTTTTGCTATTTAAAACAAAATTTCTCATATTGTATAAAATATGTTACTTAACAGGGCAGGTGGTTTCTTGTCTTTATACTTATATCAAATCCTTTATACCTATTGAATGAGAATCATATATCACCAAGTGCAACATTATACTAAGACATAACTACAAAAAAAGTAGAGATTGGTTTGAAAGAAATAAAATATTGATACAAGTGTGTTTCATGTGAACATCAAATGTTGGATTTTGATTATCGTGGAACTTTTCACACTGTAAATGAATAAACTGCACTATAATCAAATAGTAACTTATTGTTTCATATAAATTTTTAACAAATCCTCTAATACATAAAACTCAAAGTTTGTGTGTGTCTGCTAAAAACCTTAATAATAAAATGTATATGAAATTGTGTGTGCAAATGTTATGTTTGCATCAAATAAAGGCAGTTTTAACATTTATATATCATGTGTCTTATATCCCATCCCACTTAGCAGTTCTTGCTTAATGGAAATATCTTATTGCATATTCAGCTTCAAAAGTCAAATTTAGAAAAAAGTCGCTATACATTTTCTTATTTATTTCCAATTTGGTCTTTTATAAATAATTGATTGCTTTGTTGATAGCTTTTATAATTATATTGTTTATTTATTCAAGTAAAACCACTTTTGTCCCGAAAGTAGTAAGCACCTTAGAATTTAGATCACAGTTTGGATGTGAAGGGAAATAATTTAAAAAATGTTAAAATAACATAGTGTGTATGTAATAAATAAATACCAGAATGTTTAAACATATTGAACTGCTTGAATTATAACAAATTTCACTTATACCATCTGACTCCCACTCAACTCCTGTAGACAACATAAGGATTATGGGGCCAACAGCTCTCAAGTCCCGTAGACCCATTAAGGATAATGGGGTCCACAGCTCTCAAGTCCTCATTAGTTATGGAGCCCACTGCTCCAAGTCCTGTAGACCCCCTAAGGATTATGGGGCCAACAGCTCTCAAGTCCTGTAGACCCATTAAGGATTATGGAGCCCACTGCTCTCAAGTCCTGTAGACCCATTAAGGATTATGGAGCCCACTGCTCTCAAGTTCTGTAGACCCCCTAAAGATTATGGGGCCAACAGCTCTCAAGTCCCGTAGATCCCCTAAGGATAATGGAGTCCACAGCTCTCAAGTCCTGTAGACCCTCTAATGATTATAGGACCCACAGCTCTCAAGTCCTATAGACTCCCTAAGGATTATAGAGCCTACAGCTCTAAAGTGCTGTAGATTGGGTGAAGAGAAGGGGAGCACATTTCCCTGCATGCAATGCACTGCTGCTGTGGTTTCTATATCAAATAACAGGTTTTTTACGGGATGGATTTACTAGCCCCATGCCTAACCAGTTTTGAATTGTCCTTCTCCTAAACTGGTTATCAACCATGGCTAAAGAGCTCAGTCTGTCTAACTCATAGCTGGAAGAAGAGATGAATTCATACCTTTCCCAGGGGTATTTATGCATAAGTGAATGCTATGAACTTGACTGAAATTTGAACTTGGCTCTCTGATTTCCAAGTCACCATCCATTACACCAGTTAGACATCCACCATTTTACAGCATACACAAATTTTTCCAAAAAACAACTGCGTATCATAGCAAAAAAGGATTTGGGCCACCCAATGCCAATATTTTACAAATCAACTTTTATTAGTACATAGCTTCATAGTTATTAATGAATTTTGGTCTGATATTCTTATTATAAAATGCCCAGTCTATGTAATTAATGGAGAAACATCAGGTTAAGTACATTGACAATAAAGACTATGACAGAAAATAAATATTTATTGCATAAAATAAATGCTTTTTTGCTGATTAAGTTACAGCCTTTACATTCAATTAGATTTGATCATCTGCACCATTAGCTTTCATAGCTTGAGTAACAGAGCCCATATTGTACTATGGAAAGTTTCTCAAGAAAAAACAGGTGTGAGTTTGTGTCTCACCAAAAGATTATTTTTTATCAATTGCAGTTGATATACAAAATGACCACAGAACTGTTGTTAATTGGGACAGAAGATGGCTTGTCTATTTTAATGCCTCCAAGAATAAACTTCTCTCCATTAATCATCTGAGAGACCTGTCTCTGCCTTCCATCGGTATGGCTGATGCTATCCTCCAGAAAAGTGACTCATTGTGCCTTCTCAGACTAATGTTCTTACCTGACATGAAATGGAAAGACTACATTGAATCCATTGCTAGGTCAGCTGCTAAGAAAATCAGCTCACTGTGCCAGGTGAGATAATTTTACACTCCAGAATCTATCTTGCATATCTATAAGTCTACCATTCATCTATGCTTAGAATATTGCTGCTATATATGGTCCAATGCCCCTGCTATTTACCTGGAGATCCTAGATAAGATCCAAGGAAGAATCAGCAATATTATTGGTCTTGATCTGTTAGCTTGGCTTCAGTCACTTGCCCACAGCTCTAAGGTTGCCTCTCTGTGCCTTTTTTTATAAATAATTTCATGGTTATTGTTCAGATGAGCTCTTCACTATGGTACCTAGACTGTATGAATTTAAGCGCAATACTAGACTAGCAGTGAGATCTCATCAATTTACAGTTGAGCTAGCTAGATGTAGCCATAACTTCTATGCTAACAGTTTCTTTTCTCACGCATCCCTTCCAGCTCCATGCTTTCCAGCTAACTTTAATCTGTAAAAATTTAAATACAATGTCAATCACTATCTACTCTCCTCCTGATTGTCTTTTCTCTTTCTCCTCATTACTAATGTGTCTGTTCCTAATTCATCCACATCCTGTAACCCCTTGCATGCTAGTGGCTGTACTGTCTTACTTGGGGTGATACCAATTACAAAAAAAAAATTCATACTGTTTGCCAAAGGCAAAAAATGACAAACTAAGTAGTGGCAATGAAAATGAAAATTTAGTCCGAGTCTGTCAATGTAAGAACATTTCAACACTAGACAGATTATGTAATATTGAATATAAATCTTACAGGATAAATATTACAATGAATTAATAGAATGTTTGGTCCACTCTATGCTAGTCAAAAAGATCGATAATCCACTATCAAAAAGATAGACATAGGTCCACTTAACATTAGAAGTAAAAAAGATAGAAAAATGTTCACTTTATGGTAGAGTTAAAGAGACAGCCATACAGGTGTCAGTGCAAAAGTGAATGCAGCAGACTAGGCCAGAATTTGAACTTGACTTGCCAATGAGACTAGTTGTCATTCAAGTGTAAAGAGCCCAGTCTACCCTACTATTTAACTTACAGCTAGAAAAAGATGTTCATGCCTTTCCTACAGAAATTACTCAATCTCTCACACAAGTGGTGGACTTCCCCATGCATTTGATGGACACACTTCTCTTTTCGATCACTTCTTTACTTCTATCATTGACTCATGTCGTACTCTGCAGCTCTGCCCTCTTGGCAACTCTAATCATGCAGTAGTGTCTGTAAACATCTCTTTCCACTTTTCCACCAGCCAAGAACCTCCTACAAACAGAAGATCTTTCTGTTATCAACAAGGGACTGGTTCCATGACATCCTTCGTGATGTCGCTTGGGATTAAGTTTTTAATCATCTTATTCAAAAATGTGCATCTGAGGTCTCCTTCTGGGTGAAAACTGACATTGAAACAGTCATTCCAGAAATACCAAGTGAAATCACATTCATCTCCTTGGTTCTCACCTGCATGGCCACTATAGCCCACAGGAATCACTTCTTCCAGCTGTACGAGAGTAACCTATCTGATTGCAACTGACATCTCTTTGTCTCCACTCATAATGAGTGCAGGTGTGTTCTCACAGAAGCAAAGTTACTTTTTGCTGATAAAATGAAACAATGTATAGCATCTCACAAGTTCCATTCTTGAGATTATTGGCAGGTTTGCAAAGATATGTTGAACAACAATAAATCCACAATCACTCATTCAATCAATTTGAAGTCCTGACATCTACATCAGATAAGGTTGAATGCTTTGCTCAGAAATTATCATCCAACTCAATACTCCTCATCTGATTACCTCCTAGAATGAAAGCTCTACTGAGTGATATGTGCATAACCCCATCACTGGTTTCAGACCATTTTAAAACTAGACTCCTACAAGGCAAGCAGAGGTGACGGGATCCTAGTCATTATCCTAAAGAAATGTGCTCCAGTTCTCTCCAAACTCTACAACAATTGCCTCACTGTTTTCCAGCTTGTTGGAAGTCCCTCTCTGCAGTTCCTGCTTTTAAGATCTCTAGAGAATGCTCTAACCCATCAAACTATCACCCTATTAGTCTCTTACCCCTTTTCAGCAAAGTATTGAAGGCTCTGTTCAATACTGAAGTGGTTAAGCATCTTAGTTATGATGACCTACTCTCAGACAAAAAATATGGCTTCCATCTCACCACATTTACCATTGATGTGTCAATGCCCATCACTGAATATGTATATCAAGCTTTTGATAATAACAACAAAGTTTGGCTCTAGATATCCTGAAGGCATTTGACAGAGTTTAGCATGCTGGTTTTCTATGTAAGCTGCAGGGCTATAGTATTACAGGATGATTGATTTAATTCAATTGTTCCTGTCAAATCATGAAATGAAGGTTGTTTTGAATGGGCTCACTTCCAGATCCTTTCACACATATGCAGGTGTCTTCCAAGGCCCTATCCTGGGTCCTACACTGTTTCTGATCTTCATCAATGATTTTCCTGATGTCATCAGTTCCCATGTAAGTACTTATACAGATGACACTACCATTTACTTCTACCTCAATAGGAAATCAGTCAGAGCTGATAAAGTAAACATGGCCGCTGTTTTTGAAAAAGACCTCCAATATATGGTTAACTGGGGCAGGAAATGGCTTGTAAATTTTAATGCCTCCAAAACAAAACTGCTCTCATTTAATCATTATAAAGAAATTTTCTGCCTGTCATCAGCATGGTTGATGCTAGACTTCTGGAGAGCAACTCACTTCTTTTTCTTATGTTTTCAACTGACTTGAAATGGAGTGACTACATCAAATCAATTGCTACATCTACTGCAAGGAAAGTTGGTCCAGAAAATTTTCTTGTCAGAGTCTATTTTGCACTTTTACAAATCTACCATTAATCCATGCATTGAATACTGCTGCCATATTTTGTCTGGTGTCCCTGCTATTTATCTCAATATTTTTGACAAAATCCAAAGGATCTGTAATGTAATTGATCATTACTTGGCATCTCGACTTCAGTCACTTTCTCACTGACTTTCTCTGTCTTTTCTACAAATATTTTCATGGCACCTGCTCTGATGAACATTTTTCCCTGCCTGGTGCCCAAACTTTATGAAGTTAAGTGTGCTACTAGATTGGCATCTAGGTCCCACCTGTTTACTGCTGAAAAAATGCAACTGCCATTTCTATTCCAACAGTTTCTTTTCTTGTACTTCCTGCCTGTGGAACTTCCTTCCATTTACTTGCTTCCCTGATAAATTCAATCTTCAAAAATTTAAATGCAACATCAATCACCATCTTCTTCTTGAATCCCATTAATCTTTTGTCCCTCCTCAATCCTCCCTATACTCAGTCTTCTCTCTCACTTCACTTCCTGTAGCCCCCTATGTACTAGTGGCATTCCCACCTTGCTTGGGATGAAATGATTAAAAAAAAGCATGTTTGTGCAGAAGTAAATGCAACAGAATTGGAATTTGACTTGCTAATTCCAAATTCCATGTTAATAACCTTTCCATTATCCACACATCCTTATATTAAAAACTCATTTCAAATCAAGATATATGATCAACAATGCAAGTTTTGAATTCTAACAATAAATAAAATTGCAAAAAACAATAATATTATTATACATCAAGTTTTTACCTGTCTATCTTCATACAAAATGTCTGCTGGAATTGACTTGTCAAGAATCTTTGAGAAGATAGTCTGTTGGTTTTGATATTTCTTTGCTGCTGCCTGAGCCTTGCTTACTTCATCTGATGTATTGGAAGAAAAAGCCTGCAATTAGAAAGAGATGAGATGAAGAGGTTTGATGCTGGTAAGCCATGCAAAGGATGATCACAATTGGCATGGGAGGAGTTGAGCATCTGAAGATTGCTAGAGGCATGAAACAGGCAGTTACTATGTAGTGTTGATTCCTATGTCCACACAGTCTATATCTAGATACTGAGCACTCTTACCCATAAACATAATAAATTTTAAATAAATATGTCAACTTCTTGAATATGCCAATTTCCAAAAATATTATACACATTATATATATATATATATATATATATATATATATACACACACAAACACATGCACACATATATATACATATAAACACATACACAAACAAACACATATATATATATATACACACACACACATATATATACATACACACACACATATATATATATATATATATATATACATACATACATACATACATACATACATACATACATACATATTTTTCTGTTTATACATTATTTTTATAGATACAAATATTTAAGTAAATTCTCTGTTTATAATAAGCAGTATTGACTATATTTACCAGCCTGAATGTATGAAAAATTTCATAGAAAATATGTGTCCTTCAACAGGAATAAAACCTGTATCCTACATGAAATTGTCATATAGCCTGACGTGATATACCAGGCACTTCCACTGTAGCTAAATGATATAGCCCATCACATAAACACACATATATATATATATACACACATAAACATATGCACACACACACACACACACATACATATAGACATAACATATACACACATATACAAAACATATATATATATATATATATATATATATATATATATATATATATATATATATATATAATTTTATATATATTATTTTTATATGTTATATATGCATGATACTTATTGGAAAGCGCTCAATATCAGTGATAGAGCTAACATATTTAGTTGGATCCAACTCTATATATATATATATATATATATCTCCAGGTAACATGGCATAGTGGATAAAAGCATTAATTAGATCCAGTGACAGGACTAAAAGAGTGTGAGTTCAATACCTGGTTAAGGCAATGGAGAACTTGGAAAAGGGAATTAACAGGAGATAACTGATAAGTGACATCCATTAGACATGGCACATGGAACTAGAACAGTGTACCTCAGCGAGCGAAATAAGGGGTTCAGTTTGACATTCTACCCACCTGGAGAAGGCCGGAGCATACAACAGCTGAAACATTGTGATAAATATGGCAACAAAGATGAGGACGATAGTCCAAACAATGTAAATAATGTGAATAGCAATCATGTTTTATACTGCAAATGTGTCTCCTTGGGTGATGGTAAATTTCTGGTGAGTGAACGATTAATTTAATTTCAAAAGCAGAATACTTCCTTTTTAAAAAAAAAACAGAATTAAAATGAGGCATGTGAGTTTACTGTGATTAACCAATCAGATATACGGTATAGTAGGGTCAGTTGGGCAACACCTGTGAGAAAAAGAGCACCATGATGCAATTCACTCCACCAGAAATTTGGAAACAGCATGCTATACTGCTTGGCATTCATGCCAGAAGTCCCACTATGAACATTTCAAAATGTTTGGATATCAAATTTTAAGATTGTGCATTTTTGTACTAATATGGTAATAGGAGAATTCTTTTGTACTGGTAGGTTTTTCAGTCAATGTGGCATGAACTAAATTGTTCAATAAATACAGGAATGTCACAGTTATTATCTGAAAGTTGCATGTCAGGTCAGTTATTTTAATATCAAGTATGTGGTGCAGTTCAATTTACATTACATGAAAAAAACAAAATTAAAAATTCAACCTCAGCATTGCAAAAAAATTTCTTACAATTAACAATAACACATTTCTAAAAACATTTTTTTCGGATTACCTCTATATTTTCGTTGTCCTGTTATTACTGAGAAGTAAAAAACAAAAACAAATCTATTTCCATACCTGAAGATGTCTGTAGGAACAGACGAAAGCTTGTAAAAATCTAAAAAAGACCTTATGCAACTGGAATTTATAAACAGGGATCATAACATTCCTATACAGGTTCGGGGTTAATGTACTTTATTAAAATTGTTTGCGAAGATGTATTCTCGCCATTTAAATCATTAACTTCTATATCTGTTTTTTGTATGAATTGAACTGCACCACATACTTTATATATATATATATATATATATATATATATATATATACACACACACACACACACAAACACATACATACATCATATACACAAAGAAAACCATTAATTCCAATCAGAGATGTTATCAAATGGTTAGTAAAATCAGTCAGTCACAAACACTTTATTAAAAATGTATTAAAAAATAATACATTTCATATTAATCATTTTATAATGTAAGATTAAATCTAAACAGTTGCAATTTTTATATCTTTGCTTAATGTTATCAGTTGGTTATTGTTATCTAAAAGAGCTTGTCTCTAAGCAATCACAACAAGCAATTTCCTATTTGTGCGTACAGATACTTAATTCAGATATCAGAGAAAAATTTCTTAGTTTCTTTATCAATGGAAAAATATGTCTAATGTGTGTTTCTTAAATGTAAACCAATCATCTGCAATATAAGTAACAACAGGAAAGGACTTACTTGCGATTGGGCAATAAATGAAGTAACACTGGCTCCCCAGAAATATTTCCATGCTGTATAAATGGCTCTACGTTGAGCCAGGTGGGGACGAAGCCACAACATGCTGCCTTTTTTTTTTTTTTTTTTTCCAACTGTAATTAAAATAAAAACCAACAGAAAAACTCATTTCATCAATAAGTCCATAAGAGAAGAGACAAAGCAAGAGAAATGTAGTTCTACAGAAGGATGCTGAGAATATCATGGATTGGACATGTGAGCAACGACAAAGTTTTAGAGAAAATGGAAACAAAAAGAACACTTATAATTAGCATCAGAAAGAGATAGTTGAAATTTCTATGACAGAATGAGGAAAGAGGGCTTGGAAAATTTGATACTCTCATATTGAAGGCAAGAGGAACAGAGGAAAACAACACATAACCTAAATACTGGGATTGAGTAAATGGATGGTTGAACAAGGTTTAGGAGATATAACAAAAAAATAAAATTTATTAAGAGTCTCAAAGGACAGGAAATTGTGGAGAACCATGATCGACAATGTCATGAAGGGACACGACACATAGAAAATTCTTTAAAACAGAAGAAGCCTTTTTTCATATCATTTTGTAGTATTCAAAAGAGCTAAAAATAGCATGCATACAAGGTGTTGTGAGCCAACAAGTGGCAAAAACATGATATAAACATTTTTACAACAACTATAAAACCGATATCAGCACACAGCCAGTGGTAGTGACATTATGACTTGTAATGCTTGGGACTTTCATTACATACAATTGCAAAGTCAAATAAACAACATGTCATGAAAAAAAAAAATAGGATTTTATTTTTATAAAATTTTTATTCAAATTAGTAGGTTGAGTTTGAAGGGAAAGAAAAATATGATTATGATGTGTGTGAAATGAGAGAAAAGCATGTTTATGATAATGTTGCGAAACATTATCGTGCCGTGCATTAATACTGTGCTGAGGGCTGTTTCTATTAAGCAAAAACCGTGTGGGTCAATTTCTAAAACTTATTGAACTGACTACACATTAATCAAATAGTACATAGTAAAACTTTCAGTTTAAGCTTTAGTTATAATGACTCCGTGCCAGGCTGCAGACTTGTGGGGATTGCCCTACCTTGTCTGCCAAGGCACCCATTAGGTGACACTGTTTCAGTATATAACTCTTTCTCCATATTTTTTTTTTTTTTGCTCTGGAATGTAGTAGAGAAAACAACAGGACTTCTCTCCCTTAGGAAAGATTTCTTCCACCAGGAGACCGCCATCTTGATTTCAACCAGCTACATTGTTGCATCACACATACATTTTCTAACAGCAAAACTGATAAATGAGTTTCTTCCTTTTTTAGTAATTTGTGTACACAGAAGTATGTTTCCTTTCTTGAATAATGTTTTTCTTTATGTAAAAACATACAGGGTCTGTCTGAAAAGTAACTGTAATGGTGTCACAAATAATTTATTTATATTCCAAACAGCAAACCAGATGGTTTCCTCTTCAAAGTAATCCCCCTCAAGTCTAATACACTTGTCCATCTTTCTCTGCTATGCTTCTATACACTGCGCAAAGGATTCTACTTGGATGGCTCTCAGCTTCATCATTACATCCTTCTTGATGGCCTCCATGCCTTCAAAACAGGTCCCCTTGAGTTAGTGGAAAAAAAAAGTCACACAGAGCAAGATCAGGTGAATAGGGAGGTCATTCCAGTATGACAATGCCAGGAACTACTGAATGCTCAGGGCATTGTGAGCAGATGCATTGTTGTACTGAAGCAGCCATGATTTGTCCTGCTACAACTCTCATCTTTTCTCACACACTGAGCAAAGCAAACACCACAGAAACTCTTTGTAAACTTGCTGATTGTTCAACAACTCACTGTGAATGGTGCTCATAGCAAATATCTTCCAAATATAATCTCCTCCTTTGTCAAGGCACTTAATTCAATGCTTTTCCACTAATCACATAAATTGAACATTAAAACCTTTTCAGAACTAGAGTCTATATTTTCCTTAATGGCAAATACAGACTCTAGTTCTGAAAAAGTATTAACATTAAACATAAATGGAATTGTATTCTCCTCTTTCAACACAATAGGAAGGACGCTCATCAGATTAAAAGATGAAAGAGCAATTACAAGTAATGGTAATCTGATCTACAAAATTAATTGTATGAACTGCTCAACAAGTTATGTGGGCATGACATCAAGATCATTGAAAGAACGACTGGATGAACATCGAAGACTTTGTGATAAGGTAATTTCAAATGATAACGAAAAACAAAAATTGTAAGAAAACTTCAGCGATTGCATTACATGCCATTACAGGTCACAGAATTGACTTCAACCATCCAGAAATAAAAATGAGGAACCAAAAGCATTTCAATCAAAGAAGAGTAGATGAACAAATGGTAATAGCAACTACAAAAAATGCCTGTAATAAGATAGATGCAACACAACTCCATCCTGTCTGGACATCTCTGCTCCAAAGAAAAATATGATATGGAAAAAAAAATTTTTTTTTTTCTGCCTCAACTTGCTATTATGTTTTAAACATCATCAACTCAGTTTGTTTTCCTTGATTTAAATTCTTAAGCATTTCAAACTTCTTTGTACTGTTTTACTCAAATTAAGGAGTAACCAAGACTAGCAACTGCTAACCAAAATATTTACATAAAAAATAAATCATTCATTGGAATTACAAAATTTTCTTTTAATTATACAACTACCTATGGAGACAAGCATCCTAACTTTGATAGAGACTGATTTAATTCATCAAAATCTTAACAATATAATTTAAAATCTTTGCTCTTTTCTTTAAGAAGAAACAAAGTATAAACTGTGGACTGATATCTGAAACCTACTGAACAAAATAATCAAACATTATACATTGAAAGTTTCAGACCAACCATCAGCTATTAACTATATTAATAAAGATAAAAGGGAAATTTTATCTTAGCTGACATGTTTTGTCCTTTGAGAGACTTTATCAAGACAAATGTAAGAACAAAAATGTTATTGGTTTTTCAAAATTTTTAAATTTAGGAAACACTCATAAATATTCATCAGGTTAGCCAAAAGACTTAACATACATAGGTAAATCAATAAGTCCCTAGCCTTATGATGAAAAAGTGTTTAGTTCACACCACAGTATTTTTCAACATAATCTCTTTCTTTGTCAATGCACTTAACCAAATGCTTCTTTATTAATTGCATTGATCAAATGTACAATGAACCAAATTCCTCTATATTAACTTATTAGCCTGCCATAAAATATGGTATTAATTATAAAAATAAAGTATTAATCATAGGTTTCTATCAATGACCTACTGTCAAGTCAACAGTCCTATTTTGGGGTCAGTGGACAGTAATGGATTAATTACAGATCAAACATTATACAATGAAAATTTCTGATCAGAATTTGGCTAAGAGCTGAATGAAGCTATATTCACACTTTAGTGAACCATTCTCTTTCCTTTTGTATTCTGTAGATGAGATTAAGTTCCACTTGAGCAGCTTCTTCCCTTGAACTGCTGCATTGTGGATCCGACTCCCAAGATCACTACAATCTTAATCTGTTCAATCTAGGGTCAACTATTATCTTCCCCTTAAATCACTGTGCCTCTTTATATGTGACCCTCTACCTCGAGTGGCTCTTAGGCCTTGTACAGAGTGAACCTCATTCTAAAAGAAAAAGACATAATGATCAACTTTATAGATTTAATTCATTAAAAAGGTTGATAATATACATTAAAATCCTTAAAAAAATCTATGAACTGTATAGATAGATTTAGAAAATCTATTGAACTTCCTTTAGATTCAATTTTTTTTTTTTTTTGAAGAGATTCCATAATATACCACCAAAATTACTTGACATGGTAATGGTAATATTACCCATAAACATTCAACCTTCATTGACTGAGCAGACAGGGCTACCTTTGGTTGAAATTTATAAAATCTTTCTATTAAAATAATTTTCAAAGAAAATAGTTTGCCTAATTTTACCATTATATCTTTTCCCAATATTGACAGAGGGTTTCCTTCCTAACCATTTCTTTGAAGTCTTGATTATGTCATTATTTTATCGTCATGTTACATGTTCTATCCATTTTAGTTGTTGCTCCTATTGAAAGTCCTCAAGTGATGTGGTTTATGTTATTTGGTACCATTCCTTCTTTGTGATTCTGTAGCATCAGTCAATAATGTTTAAAGAAGGATGGTCTTCACTATGACCAACAGGCTTCATTTGCTCAAAGCCATTTTAATCCATTGATCTAAGAAAGTGGTTGTATTCAACTGGCAGTTTAGATATTTCCAAATGAGTTTGATGCCACACATGAGATCCATATGATAGTCTCAATCTGACAAGACAATTTAAGAACATGGTTTGAGTTTCATGTTATTGCTATGGTTTTATAGCAACTTATGATGTTGGTCAAAATTACCTCTAGCACAGCGTATTCTATGTTCAATTTCTTTAACTCCTATGGAAACATATATTACCTAATTAAACTAAATCTTTAATTAATTTCAGACACATTTTTATATCATTTAGGATTAATGCAAATATAAAATTTGTCTTTTAACCAATTGATTTTTCATCCCAATTCTAGAGTTTCGGAGACAGATGCTTTCGTAATCGTTCCGTCCACTCATCAGAGGATATCAGCAATATTTTTATATCATTATGTTTATATATATTTATATCATATAGATGAATAATGATCTGCAATTAAGGTTACTTGATATAATGTTGTTTAATTAAAATAATTCATGTTAATTATATTTGATCTTGGCCAAATTTATTGCATCAGTCAATTAGACATTATCAGAGCTCTTTCAACTTCAAGACACACTGAAAATCAGTGTGATTTCTAATCTTTAACATGGCTGAGAATGGCCATCTCCTCAGGCCTACTTGTGTTTCTTCAACACCCACAGAGCCAACCTATGGTTTATAATGCACCTCTGTTAAGTGGACCTTTATTATAGTTCAAATATGTGCCCCACCAGGGCCACATACAGTTTTGAAGTCAGTTTTCTTTTTCGTATACTGGTTGCCAACCAAGGCTATAGAGACCAGTCAGGCCTTCTATTTAACCCATAGCA